CCTAGAGGTAAAAGGTTACTTCTTTCTAGTGTTTGTATTTTGGCAAAGTAAATTTCACTTCCCTCAAGTTGTTCTTTCATTCTTAGCTTTTTCTAGGATATAAATTTCTTACACTATTACCACATATAACTTTTTTTTAAATTAATTTTCATTCCTCCCCACCCTTGATTTGCAGTCTAATCCTGTTTTAGAAGCCTTTGGCAATGCAAAGACAGTAAGGAACAATAATTCAAGGTGCGCAGTTATACTTACGTTTGTGCTTATGCAGTTGCATAAAAAATTTTGTGCTTATTTATATGAAGCGATACTAAAGTTTGTGCTTATGCAGTTGCATCAAATAATTATGCATCAATTACTTTTTCTAACATCAAACAATTATGCAACAATTGCTTTAATAAACTGTGTTAATAAGAAAATTGGGTTCAGTTATGGAAAGCCTGTAGCCGTTATTTCTATTTATGATTGTCTTCTCCACTGCAATCATTTGAAGCTGAAAAGATTAGTGTATTTGATCGCCTCATCCAGATGATTGGTTCCGCAACTTAGGTGACTGCATTACTTTGTTCTGAATTATGCTTTGTGAAATAGGAACACTTCGTGGAAGTTTTAGACATAAGATAGACATTTTATTGAAAATGTTTGTGATGAAAATCTAACAAAATTTTCCTAGAATATTTGTGATGAACCTAACATGGGAATGCCTTCACCCAAGATGTGTACTAATCTTTGATTTGCAAATGAGATATGCTCTCATGCAATATATTAATAAGCTGCATTTTAGTGAACAATTCATCCTTTATTGTCTAGAGCCTTCCAGCAATAAAATTTTTATCAATGTTGTTTATCATTGTCAGGATCTTAGATGCAAACTAGTTGGTTCCTTATGCATTCCAAGAACAAGTCGTGCTATTCATGGCTTATAAACTGTGTTACTTGCTAAAGATTTTAGATTTTATATTGAATATCGATGATTTTTGAATTTCATTGTGTGTAAAAGCAAGTAATGTAATCATATCAGATCATACTTTCGAAAACGTGATTTCTATTTTAAGGTGCAATGTTTTTTGCTGCTTGCTTGATGAATTCTTTTTACCAAAAGTTATGTGATCATGTTTGACTGTTGAATTGCAGCTGTTGCATGTGTCATGTTGATGACTTTTGATATTTTATTAAATTTATTGGTGTTTTTAATGTAATTAAAAGTCATTTATTTAATTTTTTTAATAAAAAATATGATTAAGTGGATGATTGCGGTGTGAAAATGGGCTTGGACATATAATTAAAAGTTAGTGGATCAATTTTATTATTTATGGGCCCAATGATGGAAATTTTGGAACTCAAGTTAAAGGAATTAAATCTAAATAAAAATCTGAAATTTGTTGCAATGAAAACGTATTTTGCTGCAGTGAAGCGCGATTCTAGTAAAATGTAAAGTTTTGATCTTTAGCAAACTTTTAGGGTTTAGACATCTCATTTTCGACCATTCTTTACCTCCAGCACTTGCAGAATGTCCAGGGAAAGCAAAAGGAGCGAAAGGATAGTTGGAAAAGCTTGGATTTAGTAAAAAATTAAGGGTTTCACTCAAGATTGCTCTGATTAAGCTTTTCTTCTCCTTTGTCTCTTTATTTTGCTATATATATTACTGATTTTGTTGTCATGGAAACTATATTTGACTGATTTTCTCTTAATTTAGGGCAGTTATGAATTATTTTTAGATTAGAGTATGTTTGAACTATTTATTTGAACTTAATATTTATTTTATTTACTTAATATTATACTTATTTGTCTACTTAATGGTAGGCCACTATTGAATGTGAATTTGAGGGTTCAGGTTTTGCCTTGAAAGAGAAAAATCTAAATTAAACCATTAGAGTGAGTAATATAGAATTACAATTTATTTTAATTTGTCAATAAGATAGGAATATACCTATTGGCCCTATATAATCACATTAGAGTAAGTTTGTATTTTTTTTGCCTCTTAGGTAATTGTGTTAGGAATAGCATATTAATTTGAAAGAGGGGTGTAATTAATTGGAAGATAATTATTTCTATTAATATTCTAGATTAACAAATTATTATTAAGTAAATTTATTTAAGCAATTACATGCTTTATTAATTGAAGAAGGGATTAGATACCCTAGATTGCCTTGATTGTCTGTAGTTGTTGAAATTTTAATTTTAGTCATTCATATTATTTCAATTTCTCATTTTACAATATCAAATTTAAATTTTATTTTGCTTGACTTAATGGAAGTGAAAAATTTATTGCCTAATTATCAATTAACTTGATTCTCTATGAGATTGACCTTGATTTATCACTCACTATTTTACGAACTGTACACTTACAGAATCATTACATATTTGCAAGCAACACATGTTTTAATTGTTCTTGTTGCCTATCAAAGGATATGCTATTGTATGGTAATGAAAGCTCTTAAGAAAATGATAAATGATAAAGCTAATGGATCTGATTGTATCCCTATTGAAGTGTGAACATTTTAGGGGAAGAAGGGTACGATGGTTAACTAAATTATTTAATGAAATCTTACAATTCAAGAAAATGCTTGATGATTGGAGGAGAAGCACCTTAGTTTCTATTTACAAAAATAAAGAGGATATTCAGAATTGCGCTAATTATATAGGGATTAAACTTATGAGTTATACAATAAAATTGTGGGAAAGAGTGATTGAGTATAAGTTGAAATTAGAAACTAGTATCTTTGAGAATCAATTTGGTTTCATGTTAAGTAGGGCGATTATAAAAGCAATTTATCTACCAAAAAGTATCGATGCAAAGGTAAAGATTTACATATGATTTTCATTGATTTGAAAAAAAAGCTTACGATCGTGTATCAAGAGAAGTACTTTGAAAAGTATTGAAAGAGAATGGTGTTTAGGTTGCCTACATTTGAGCTGTACAAAATATGTATGAGGGGGTAACAACTATTATAAGAATGTTTGGCGACGAAACAAAAGACTTTCCTATAAGAATTAGACTATATTAGGGATCATCTTTGAGTCTTTATTTGTTTAATTTGATTTTAAATGTTTTAACTGAATATATTCAAGAGGAAATTCCTAAATGTATGCTTTTCATCGATAACATAGTTCTAATTGCGAAGACAAGAGAAAGAATTAACTGTAAACTTGAGTTATGAAGGAAGACATTAGAGTCAAAAGATTTTCGCTTGAATTGGAGTAAGATAAAATATTTACATTGTAATTTTGATAGGAAGTTAGTGAGTAGTAATTTGAAAGTAAAATTAGGTGATTAGATTATACTTCAAGTGAAAAAATTTAGATATTTGAGAGCTATTATTCAATATAATAGGAAAATTGATGGAGATACTGCACATAGGATACAAGTTGCATGGTAAAATTGGAAGAAAGGCTAAAAAAGTTATTTTTGATTTTAAGGTACCTAATAAACTAAAAGAAAAATTTTATTAAATTGTTATAAGACCAGCAATATTATATAATAGTAAATGTTGGCTTTAAATGGGGTACTAAGAGTATAAAGTTGGAATAAAAAAAATGAGAATGTTAATATGAATGTGTGAATGTACATGTAAAGATAAAATTTGAAATGAACACATACGGAAAAAATGATAGAAAATCATTTGAGATTGTTTTTATATGTACAAAGAAGATTAGAGGAAGCACCTGTGAAGAGAGTGGAATAAATAGCTTTAAACCCTATCAAGAAGGGTAGAGGAAAGCTAATGAAAACGCTTTTAAAAGTTATTGATCGAGACCTTTAAGTTAATAATATTTTTAAAAGCTTGATAAATAATAGAGTATAATGACATTATACAATTTATTTAACGAACCTCATCTAATGGAATATGGCTTGTTGTTTTGTTGTTCTTGTTGTTGTTGCCCATCCATTCGATATTCTCTTCAGAGATTATGAATCCATTTTTTATGTTGAAATAGTACAGAACAATTAATGTTTTCCCTCTCTTGGCATGTTAAACTATCTGGTCTTATCTTTCATTCTTTATTCTGTACATGTTTTTGTTATGGTGTTACTTTTAGCATTGTGAGGAAAATATTGTTAGAGGATTTATATAAAAATGTCTTTTCTCCTCATCCTTTTTCACTTCTAGAATCAAGATGACAACGACCTTATGGCCTATTGGCTATCGAATACGTCTGCATTATTGTCTTTGCTTCAGCGAAGTTTGAAATCTGGTGGTACAACTGACACAACTACAATTAAAAAACCACACAATCCAACATCTCTTTTTGGAAGAATGACTATGGTAATGATCCTTCCTTACATTATTGCCTCATATAATTTCTGCTTTTCTTATAAAATTCCACTCGTTCATTTTTTGACTGAACTGCAGGGCTTTCGTTCATCCCCTTCTTCTGCCAGCCTTGCCGCCCCTGCATAGGAGGCTGTACGCAAGGTAGAGGCCAAATATCCTGCTTTACTTTTCAAGCAGCAGCTCATGGCTTACGTGGAGAAGATTTATGGCATTATTCGGGCCAATTGAGGAAGGAGCTATCTTCATTGCTTTCACTGTGTATCCAGGTATATTGAAATTCAATTAAGTATTGTTCAGCTGAAGTAAGCTATATATCAACTACTCCCTCGAATCCTAAATGTAGGAATTATTTAACTAATTCACACAGATTTAAGGGAATTGGACAAGTTATGTGAAAAAAATGTGTGCTGATTTTCCTAAAATATCACTCCCTTTTAATCATTTACACTGGAGTATTTATCAATATAACTTATACATCATATAAGAATTCAACTATACGGATGGCTTGGGGAAAAATAACAAACATAGGAAACAAAGGAGATTGAGATGATACATTTAGGATCAAAGCAAACACTCCAACTAGTTCCTACATTTAGGACCCGGGGGAGTATTATGACCTTGATGAAATCAGCTAGCCTTATCCCCCCCCTCAATATTTTTCTTATGCCTTGTCCCAATATTTCCTTTTCAAGATAATTCCCACTTATTGTTGACATGCAGGCACCAAGAACATCAAAAGGAGTTGCACGATCCTTTGGTAAAGATTCTCCAACAGACCACTGGCATAGCATTATTGAATCCCTCAGCATATTGTTGTGTACACTGAAAGAGAATTTTGTCAGAAACTTATTATTTTATAAACACTAAGCAGTTATTTTCGTTGTTGCCTTGTTTATGCTATTTTCACACCACCACCACCACCATCTTTTGGGTTTTTGGTGCCTCCAGTACTTAACCAAAAGATCTTTACTCAAACATTCCAATATATTAATGTACAGCTCTTCAACAGGTAACAAGTTTTCTTGTGAATACCCTTTAGCTTAAAAGAAAAGGTTTTTTGGCGGTTTCAATATGTATTCTTATTTATCAATCTTTTTGTGTTATTACTAGTCTTCTACATCGCGATTGTTGCACATTCAGCAATGAAGAATGTATTAAAGCTGGATTAGGAGAACTGGAGCTGTGGTGCTACCAAGCAAAGGAAGAGGTTGCTAACCCCCCCCCCCAAAAAAAAATGTCTGTATCATTAATGCTGCATGTAACAGATGGAAGTAATTATCTGTGGCTGCTGTTTTTACTTTAATGTTCATAAAAGCTTTAATTAAACTGGCTTGGGTTTGCAGTATGCAGGACCATCTTGGGATGAACTTAAGCACACAAGACAGGCTGTTGGATTCTAGGTAAGTGTGCCTTTGTCTCTTTGATGATGCGGCGTCATATTGGTAATAGGATGAACACTATTAAAGCAGAGGACAGAAGGCATCCACTTCTCTTGCATCATGGGTGTCTCAAACATGATGATATTTGTACTCCGATAGGAACTTTTGGGAGAATCACATCCCAAAGGATAGCTCAGGACTTTGGAGAGTCCAAAATCATTATAAACGTTACTTTAAAATACTTTCTGATTTGGAATTTACGTCCCATGCCTTGCAGCATTCCACCATGCTCTATAGTCCCACCACCTCGGTGGGTTGCTTTTGTGCAAGCTTCTTGGCCCTGGCTAACACTCGCCACTAATTAATACCACACAAGTACAACTAAGTATAGTGGAAGGTTCTAATACCAATTGATAGGAACTTCAGGGAAAATCACACTCTAGAAGCTAACCCGTTAGATTGGATAGCCCAAAGTCATTATAAACTCTATTAAAATTCTGTTCTTTCAATTGGAACTCAATTACTCCAAGTCCCATGTCTTGCAATTGGCTTCTAACAATCCTTCGGAGAAGTGACTCTTAATTGAAGGCACTTTCTGCAATAAAATGCATCTTTTAATTCTGGAAGAAGCCCATGCTCATACAAGTTAATTTGTCATTCTAAACTTAGGCTAGTAGCAGTGCATGGTAAAGCCTACTTATATAATTTCATCAAGCCCACTTACATTCATACTGTCTGTTTTATTCTTACTTGGGAGACTAGGTAACAACAAAGTGTAATGGGAATTGTCTGAACTACATTAAGTAAAATATTGCATCATGATTCTCCTGTCTTCATAGAGGTAACATTAGCTCATCACTAACCAGAAACTGTTGAGCTTCTTAATTTCCGACAGAGCAGACACTCGTTTTTTTTTTTTTTTTGAACCAGAAACTACTGTCTTTGAGATGGAGATATACTCAATTTTCATCTTTTTGTTTTTGAAAATGATCTGTTTCCTAGTTACTTGCCTCTGATTTAAGGTTTGACTGTTACTTTTGATCCACTGGTTATTCATCAGAAGTACAGAATTTCCTATGACGAAATTACCAATTATTTGTGCCCTATAAGTGTTTATTCTTCTCAAACCGTGTATAATTGCGGGCTTGTCTGCATTTTTCATTATTGGTATGTTGATCTACAGATCGCATAAATCTAGAGTAGAATTTGACTGGATACCGTCTAGATCAGATCTTATGTATTCATAAGTGATTTTGTGTTTTTTAAGTTATGGATTCATATGTTTCTGCGAGTAGCAGTAGAGACGGTTGCCTATATTGTTTATCACCTTCAACTTGGGAGCGGATGTGGCTACTACTATTATTGGCTGAAAATTAGATACATATTTTGGATATAGTCCCAAAATAATATGACGGTTGGAGACTGTGGAGGTCCTTAAGCGCAAAACCTCTTCCTCTTGCTGTACTTTCTTTATCTGTTTATTTTTCTCATACTTTTTACTTCTGTTCCGTTTTGCCCTCATTAATCCAGATACTGAGCGTCCAGCAGCTGTACAGAATATGTGCACTTTATTGGGATGGTAATTATCACACTCAAAGTGTATCTCCCAATGCAAGCCTATCAGCTTACAGTCACCAACTGCGGCAAAAGACATTCTTAGGTTATGAGTTCTTGATTAACATGCACCAAATCTTCCTTCAGGTCATTTCAAGCATGAGGATGATTATGGCCGAGGACTCTGTTGATCCTCTCAATGATTCATTCTTGTTGGAGGACAATTCTAGGTGAGAATGCCTGTGTATGAACAAATGGCAAACAACAATCATCTACCAACAACCAAATATATTCCTTAAAGATAGGAAAGAATAATAAGCAACTAGCCAACGAATATAATTGACAGCATTCATAAACTCCCAACAGTAATTTATTGTGGAGCAGATGATAAAACAAATGTAGGCTAGCTTTCTTGTGATCCATTTAATTGTTGGTTTTACCCACTAACACATGGTTCTTCTACACCATCCCCTTCTCAGTGGATGACCTCTCTTCATCACTGCAAGAGAAGGACTTCCCGGACGTGAAACTCGCGGAAGAACTTCTCAAGAATCCGGCCTTCCAATTTTTTAATGACCCCCCCGGGGGGGGGGGGGGAAGCTAGCTAGGCTTCTGGATTTTTTTTGTCTTGCCAAGGGGAGGGAGCAAAATCAGTTCTTGGTCCTTGCCATGGTAGTTGTAAGTTCTTTCATATTTTCGTTATTTTTCTCCCCTCGTTCTGTTTTATTGAATCCTTTCATCATGCCCCTTCTGCAAAATTATTTTTTTTTTCCATTCTTTTGTTGGCATTCAATTCAAAATCCTCCTTAAAAGGGGCAGGGATTTTTTTTTCCCTTTACAAAGAGTTCATCTGAACAGCTTATGATATTTTGCCGTGTAAAGATAACAATTATTATTAATACATAGGGACGAATAGATTGTTCATATGTTGGAGTTGGCTTTTAACCATCTTTCTCCTTTTCCCAGTATCTGTGTCCATGTTCCCCAATGACTATGCATTTACATATCAGAAGAACGAACTAAACGCATGAAAATATACATTTTTACTAGACGAAATCTTCATGAAAAAGTTGGCATGTCGTTTAGGTAATGAGAATGAAGTTAATCCGGAAGTTTGGGTTGTGCCAGATACGTTAACATCAAATCCCGGCTATCTCCATTGTGTGGCATTAAATTTAAGTTCCCTTCGGTGTAAATTTGACTAAATATCAAGTTTCCCGTGTCAAATCCTGCGAAAATAAAATAATAATAATAATAATAATAATAATAAAGAACAAAAACTTTGGCTAATTGACTTAAACCTAAGATTAATAAAAGGATATCATATTTGACGGAAGACATTCGCATATCTCTACGTGATCATCAACGATGATACAGTCGAAGGAGATTCTTCTGGTGATATTGCCAACTTAGACGACCCTATCCACAAACAAAATGGCACTTGAAGGTGATGAGAAAATCAAGGTTTGAAGACAGAAACCGTGTTGGGAGAAACCACGAGGAATTCACATGGCTGTGGACCCAACGCTTTCACCTAATAGGCGTTTCTATTCAGCATAGCTTAAATCCCATAATTGCCATTTGGGACCATAAGGGACCCTCCTAGCTGTAGCATAGGGGACCACCCTAAAGCGGATTTGGATATATCCACAATGCAGATTCTGAGTTTGGAGTTTGAAGTAACGTGAAACTAGTGGCCATTCTAGCTCTCTCATATTGGTCCATTTCTGCTTCAGCAGCAGGCACAATTTAGCACACTGAAATACGTATTATATTGTGGTCCTTTCCGAATGGTTTTAACAAATCGCTCTCTCTCTCACACCCCTAGCGCCTACGTGAAGTGGGGAGGTTTCCTTAGCATTGATCATACTGACAATTTGAGGGCATTATACGACCCTGCTGGACCAGAATCTAGTCGTTTTCGACGAAATCTATGTAGCAACCATGGGTTACCCTAATAAAACCAAGGCATTTTAGATAATATGATGAATTTACTTACCCCTAATCCCTATAACCTATTTTATTTTATATATATATATATAAGATATAAAATTTATATGAAATCATATTATTCATACAGCTCACTTTAGACTCGGTCTGAAATACAGGCTCACAATCTAGTTAATAATGCATGCATAAACCTTGAGAAGTCACGTGAAAATAAACCAGTTAATATTAAGCCACTAGGCGCATGGACAAACCCTGATTTAACTGAAAAGAATAGTACTGCGGTTGGATTGTGTCAAAATCATGCCAGCACTATCAGCAACTGATACCCAACGCCATCACTTTCGTGACATTCTCTGCCATTGTATAATTGATAGTTATATGCAATTTGTACTCCTTGCTTTGTCTCATTTGCAATATTAATTGGGATAAGGACTGATGGGAGACTCCACCTTGGTCATTTTCAAAACGCATATGGCTCCAAAATCCAGTCCAAATACCTCCCAAAAAACAGATATATACCATCTATATATATATCCATTAACGTCCAAAAACAGATATAAATATACATATTTTGTGGCTTAGGTTGAGGAAACTATTAATGAATTGAGGAAAAGATGGGAAATAAATACTCACTTTGGTGGGCCTTAACTTAGTAGTTAATTATTTGACTTTAATTACTTATTGATCTGGTCTTTGAAACCACTGGATGGGCATTGTTTTCTAGACTGATAGGGGTCGGCTATCTTTTCTTTAATTGTGCATCAGACTTCATTGGTTCCTCTGGACCATATCATTTTGATTCCAGACTAATATCAACAAAAAAAATTGTTTTCAACTCGTGAATAATATTCGATTCCTCATGCATGATGATCAGAAAATTTCTGTGAAGCAAAAACAGCAACGTCCACTTACGTTATATGTAATCAATAATCATGCAGAAATCTCACTACGTACGTATTTGAAAACATTAGGATAAAATGATTTAAGCCAAAAGAAAAGAAAAGAATTGGAAGATTAATCAACCTCGAGAAGAAATTCATGACTAGATTCGCCGTCTTAGCGGTGAACGTGTTAGATAACTTAATTAGATCTTGGGGTGTTACAGATCAGATCAGTTTCTTGAGTGTTGACATGAAAATGAAATGTCTATTGGCAGAGTCGAAGAATAAGTAATTAATAATTATTCTTTTTGTACCAGATTGCATCATATTATTCTGTTTTTTTCTCTATTCGAGTATAAGCTTTTATTAATTTATATTAAAAACTCCGTGACCACAAGTTTCAGTATGATAAAATGAAATAAAAATATCAACCCCACTTGATCCATGTGTTAAGCTAGCAGATAATCAATATTGAAGAGTTAAACCTGAAGCATGAAACTAGTTAGGAAACCATACAATGCATCTGCTCGAATTCGTATTTTCTTTAATTGATTTTTTCCCCCGATATGTGTGATGCGTACCTAGCTAGCTTCATTTATCGCAATTATTGGACACAACTAAATCCTCGAATCGTGACTTGGCAAATTCACATTTTAATTATACTCTTCACCAAGAAACATCCTTCAACTTTGGAGAACAGGATCTTGCTACTATATCTTCATGACGATAATATTAATTGAACGTGACCTTAAAACTAGAAGAACAAAAAATTAATGTTAGCGTTTGCTATACTATAATTTTGTGCAAGTTTATTTCAAACCTAAAGTGATAGAAGACGTGCTCAAAGACTGAGCCAGGCCATGGTGGCTAGAGATCGACGTATACGCATATTTACTGCTCCATACAATCACACACACGCACACACACTCACACTCTGAGTCAACTACAATATAAAATTGGGGAGAAAATATAATAGAAAAAATTAAAAGAGGCACACACCCACACATTTTGGTGCTGAAAGAAATGAGGAACAATCATATGCAAGTAAGTCAAAAGCTATAAAATAATATGGATAACGGTTATATCCGCTGCACATGTAAGGTTGGTATATATCGAACT